GTTTTATTTTATTTTATTTTGTTCTATTTTAAATATAAGAATGTTATATATCAAAAGTTATTTAGTATAATATGAGAAACATTTTTCAAGTAATGAACGTTCTTTTTTTAATTTATTTTTTATCGTTTTTCTAACAATTATTGTTTAAATATTGTTAATATAGCGTGAAAATTAAAATTGATCAATTTAACATTTGATATCTGTTTGATGATGAATAAAAAAATTTCTATTATTTAACTAAATGAAAAATAAAATAAAATAAAACAAAACAAAACAAAAAATATTCTCTTTAATATTTATTTGATTGAATAAATAACCGTTATAACATAATGATAGAAACTGTTGATAGATAGATAATAATGTGTTACCTAGCAATATTAAGGACAATAACGTGTCATTTCAGCAACAGTACATAAAGTTTGGCAACAAGCTTCAGTTAACAATTTCCGTTGTAAGAATCTACGGAAACGTTTTATGTTGAGATTTTTACGTTTTTGTTGTTCAACAACTTCACAAGCAATACTGACCATTTGCAAAAGATAAGTACCACATGCATGATAAGCTCGATGAAGAGCACAATCTTCCATTTTATAAAGTTTACCTTTTATTTCAACACTTTCTCCTTCTTTTAAAATTCGTCCAACATAATCTCTAGTGCAATTAACATTAACACTATAAGAAACTGTTCGACTCGAAACATTTTGATTAAATATAACCAATAAAGAGAAAATTAATACAGGGAAGAACATTACCATTTAAATCAATTAACTTAGGTCAAAGAGTAGTGATATATTGACTAAATAAAAATAAAAGAAATTATTATTATTAACTATTATAAAACAAAAACAAAAACCAAAACAAAGATTTATTAACATTAAAACAAAAAAATCAATTCGATTTGATTAAATACTAATTATAGTTAATCATAAAACTGTTTGAATTTTACTCTTAAATAAACGACGGTCAAATTTAAATAGAGTAACTATTTCTATATAGGTGAGAAAAAAAAAAGGTAAGAATTAAAAAATGAAATAGAAATGAAATCTTTTTAAAAAAATAATAGTTTTTATTTATAAACATTTTCATTATTATTATATGGAAATGAAGAAAACTAAAAATAATTTCTTTTTCTGTCTCTCTCTCTCTCTCTCTCTCTCTATCTCTCTCGGGTATTTTATTACTTTTTTTTCCCTTTATTATAGTTATTATCTACTGTTAACTAACATAAGAATTTTTCTTACTATTTTCAATCAATTCTATTAAGAATAAATTTAATTTAATAAAAATTTTGTTATTGTTTACAATAAAATAAATAAATTCATATTAATCAAGATTTTACAAACAAATTTTCATTGGTTTTTGTTTTGTTTTCAATAAAATATTTTATTTATTTTAACTTAATATTAGTTTTTTTTTTTTTTAAATTCTCATTAAATTTTATTCAATTTATAAACATAATATAGAATTTAAATTATATTTATTCTAAAATAAAACTTTAACTCTATTCTACTAATTACCATACCAGTTTACTTGTTTTATTATCGAAATGGATAAACTATCTCTCTCTCTCTCTCACATTCATTTATATTAAATAAACTTACTCAAAATTGAAGATAATTCTTTAAAAGTTTTTTCAATTTTTAATCTTAAATAAATAAATAATCAATGTTAAAACTTTTCATCTGTTTTATGGGTCTAGTTCAAACCTAAAGCTGTTACATTTTTCAGACATTTTTTTTTCAATTATCTCAAAAGTTTTGTTAACATAGAAACTTTGTTCAAACGCTATGCGACATTAAG